GTTTTCTTCAATCCTCCCAGTCTCGGGCTATGGGCTGAGAAGGGAGAGAAGGATCCACGTAGTCAACCAAAGACTGTGGCGCTGGTGTCATCGGGAAGGCTTTGGCTTCCATGACCACAGCCCACTCTTTGGCGAGAGAGGCAGCAAGCTGCTGGGAAGAGATGGCCTCCACCTCTCCCCCCTGGAGAGGAGGCTCTTCTCAGCCAGACTGGCTGACCTGCTCCACCAGGCTTTAAGCTAAGCCCACTGGGGGATGGGGGGACTACTGCTACTGCTGGCCTGCTGAGCAACCCTTGCAAAGCCAGCAGGCCAAGGCACTTAAGGGAACCCACCCCTGCCCCAGCCCTGGAACGAAATGTAAGCAAGGCAAAGGCCCCCCAAGGGGACACTTGCGTGCCTACACACAAATGCCAGGAACTTGGGGAACGAACAGGAGAAACTTGTCCTCCTGCTAAACACTAATAACTATGATGTCACAGGGATAACAGAGATCTGGTGGGACTCCACCCATGACTGGGCCACAGGTATAGAAGGCTATACCCTGTACAGGAGGGATCGAGTGGACAAAAGCGGCAGGAGTGTAGCTCTCTGTGTCAAGGAAAGTTGTGTGTCCCTGCAAGCCAACGTTGGCACCCATGGTGGAAGACTTGAAATCCTCTGGGGTAAAATCCATGGGGAACACGGCACAGCGGATACTATGGTGGGTGTCTACTATAGACCCCAGGGTCAAGACCCTGATCAGGAGTTTGCCAGGGAATTGGTTGAGGCCACGTGCTCCATGTGTATGGTTGTCATGGAAGACTAACTACCTAGACATCTTGTGGGAGGAGCGCTCGGACAAATCCGAGCGGTCACAAAGCTCTCTCTCGTGCATGGATAACTTCTACTGAAGCAGGAAGTCTACAGGCTGACAAGAGGTAAAGCACTGCTTGACTTGGTACTGGCAACTGGGGATGACTTAAAATCGGTGACCTATCGATCAAACAGAAGCTGGGGGACTGACCATGAGCTGATCACCGTCACCATCCACCGTAAAACTGGCAAGTTAGTCAGTAATACAGAAGTCCTCGACTTCAGGAAGGCTGACTTTGACAAGCTAAGGAGACTTGTCAGTGAGGCCCCAAAGGGCCACAACCCAAAAGGGGAGGGGAGTTCAGGACAAGTGGTTACTCCTTAAGGGAGCAAACCTGGATGCACAAGCAAAGTCCATCCCGTCTCAGAGGAAAAGCAGCAAAAGGGCACAGCAGCCCCTTGGCTCTCCAGAGAACTGGCGGACCTCCTGCATCCTAAAAGGAAGACCTACAAAGGATGGAAGACTGGAACCACCACCAAGGAGCAATACTCTGCTCAGGTCTGGACCTGCAGGGAGCAAAACTAGGAAAGCCAAGGCTCCAATGAAACTCCAGCTAGCTACAGATATCAAGGGCAATAAAACATCTTTTTTTTAGATATGTGGGGAGCCGGAGGAAAAGCAAAGGTAACACTGGACCCCTGCTAAACCAGATGGGACAACTGACATCCGATGCCCGGGAAAAAGCAGACTTGCTTAATGGGTACTTTGCATCAGGTTTTTAATCAGTCCCATGGGACGCCCCTGCCTACTGTGGGTCAGGGAGGCCTGGATGAGGGAGATTCTTGACCCTCCATCAAAGCAGACCTCATGAAGGAAAACCTTGACAGGCTGGATACCTTCAAGTCAGCTGGCCCTGACGTTTACACCCAAGGGTACTCAAGGAGCTGGCGAGCATCATAGCTCAGCCCCTGGCACAGATCTTCGAGAACTCCTGGCACTCTGGTGAAGTGCCCAAAGACTGGAAGAAGGCCAATGTTGTGCAGATCTTCAAGAAAGGGAAGAAAGTAGATCTGGCAAACTACAGGCCCAGCAGCCTGACCTCTATCCTGGGGAAGGTCTTGGAAAAGATTATCAAAGAGGCCATCCTTAACAGACTAGCTGACAGCAACATCGTGAAGGATACCCAGCACAGGTTTGTTGCGGGTAGGTCTTGCTTGACCAATCTCATTTCCTTTTATGACCAGGTGACCTATCACCTGGACAAGGGAGAAAAAATTGGTGTTGTATATCTTGACTTTAAAAAAGCCTTTGATCTGGTATCCCATGATCACCTCTCGTCAAAACTGGCTAACTGCAGCCTTGACCTCACCACGATCCGCTGGCTGGCAAGTTGGCTCCGCGGTAGGACCCAGAGGGTGGTGGTTGATGGAAGTCAATCATCGCGGTGCGCTGTGACCAGTGGGGTCCCTCAAGGCTCTCTCCTTGGGCCTATACTCTTTAACATCTTCATCAATGATGTAGACACTGGTGTCAGCAGTGGGCTGGCCAAGTTCGCCAATGACACCAAACTCTGGGGTAAAGCATCCACACCTGAGGACAAGACGGTGATCCAGGCAGATCTTAATAAGCTCATGAAATGGGCAGATGAGAACCCGATGGTGTTTAACACCGAAAAATGCAAGGTTCTCCACTTTGGGAGGAAAAACCTGCAGCATCCTCATGGGCTCAGCAGTGCTACGCTGGCTACCACTACGAACAAAAGGGACTTGGGGGTCATGATTGACCACAAGATGAACATGAGCCTTCAATGCAATGCTGCGGCTAGTAAAGCAAGCAAAACACTGGCTTGCATCCATAGATGCTTCTCAAGCAAATCCCAGGACGTCATTCTCCTGCTGTACTCGGCCTTGGTGAGGCTGCAGCTACAGTACCGCATCCAGTTTTGGGCTCCACAATTCAAAAAGGTTGTGGAGAAGCTTGAGAGGGTGCAGAGAGCCACGTGCATCATCATAAGGTCAAAGACCTTATGATGAGAGGCTGAGAGCCATGGGACTCTTCAGCCTGGAAAAGCGCAGGCTCAGGGGTGATCTGTTGGCCACCTATAAGTTTATCGCGGTGCTCATCAGGATCTGGGGGAACGTCTGTTCACCAGAGCACCCCAAGGGATGACAAGATCAAATGGTCACAAACTCTGCTGAGACCGATTCAGGCTGGACATAAGGAAGAACTTCCCTACTGTCTGAGCCCCCAAGGTGCGGAACAGACTGCCACCGGCGGTGGTTCAAGCACCCACTTTGAATGCCTTCAAGACACTTCTGGATGTTTAACTTGCTGGGATCCTAAGATCCCTGCTGACTTCCTGCCCCTGGGACAGGGGGCTGGACTCGATGATCCTTTGGGATCCCTTCCAGCCAGAATGTCTATGAATCTATGAATTTATTAGACCAATTAAATAGTTGGGAAAAAATTTCTAGCAAGCTATTTTTTCTTACCAAAGTATCTTAATAATTTTTCCAAAACAAATTTCCAACTATTTAGTTGGTCTAATAAAAGGTATCAGATTTACCCAAAGAACCTTGTCTGCCTATGTCCTTAGACCAGGCTTGTCCAACATACAGCCCGTGGGCCACCATGCAGCCTGCCAAACCATTTTCTGAGGCCCGAGGTCCCTCGCTCGGAACAGGTGGGTGGGGGAAGGGAGGGGAGCTGCTCTCCCCCACAGGGCTGGGCTTATCACGTGATCCGGGTCCCATTGCTGCTTCCTCAAGGGTTGCACAGTGTGGGTCTACCCCAGCTGTGCCTGACGGGATAAGCTGGGGACAGCGCCTGCTTTTCCTTCTCTCTGGCTCGGCCCCTTGCCCCCAGTGTCCCGCCGGGCTTGGCAGCCACAGGGCAGGAAAGGGGTGCAGCGCCTGGAGCAGGCAGTCAGCAGGGCAGCCCCGGGGGGGCCTCAGCAGGTGGGGTCCTGGCATGACCTCTGCAGACAAGGCGGTCGGACCCCATGCTCCGGGCTCGCAGAGCTGAGGCCGCCAGGGCTGCGTGCGCAGGCAGCCGGGCACCACAGCGAGTGGGGCCATGCGGCCAGGTGGGGGGCTGTGGTGCAGCAGCTGCCTCACTCCAGCCTGCCCTCAGGCAGCACCGACTCATGGGAATGCGCTGCTTGGGGGATGGGGACGTGGAGCTATTTACTTCTCCCCTTCAGTCTCTGGGGCAGTAGCTGGCTGGATGCAAAATGGGTCTCTCCTGCCCCTGCCCACCACAAACCACCAAGAACCTTGAAATAACAGGCAGGTGCAACAGGGCTGCACAGGCAGGGTCTCTCTGGCTCAGGACAGAGGGTGTTTGAATGTGGCTCACCGGCCCACTGGGTTATAAAAAGTTCATGACCTGGCCCCACATTCAAAAAGGTTGGACACCCCTGCCTTAGACCAACACAGCTACAACCTACCTGTTTTACTGATGTTTGTTATACTGGCATTTCACTGTATTTTGTTTTCACTATTAAAACAGGTATTACATGCTTTAAAATTATTAGGAAATCTGCACAGTAACATTTTTTTCAGTTTTCCTTTTTAATCATACATTGATCTTTAATTAAATACACAAATTCCTATTTCAACCCTCCCACGTTAATAACAAAGTTAAGGGTGAAAAAAAATCTTGAAACTAAATAGTCGCAGTTCATCCAGTTTTTCCCTGTTAAATCATGTTTCCCAGGACTCTAAACATTTTTTGGCTCCCCGTTGGCCTCTTTCTACTTTATCCATATCTTTCTTTAAGTGAAGTGCACAAACCTGAAGACAGGTACTAGACGAGACCTCATCAGTGCCAAACCAGCAAGAATTACTTTCTTTAAACTTGCAAGTGATATGTTCCTGATATGCTACTAGCTTTTTTCTGCAGCAAGGGTATACTATTAGCTCATATTCATCTTATAATCCACTAGAACCCCAGGTCAAATTTCATTTGATTAATTTTCGACCATTTCCCTAACATATCGACGTCATTCAGAAGCTGAATCCTACTCTCCAGAATGTCCGCGTCAGCACCCAACTTGGTACCCCTCTGATCTAGATTTCAATGATACATATAAAATGAACATTTTTTTTCCAAAAAAAATAATCACAATAGTACATAGGACTTCATTGAAAATATATTTGAAAGAACCAGCAGCTTGAATGAATGTCAGGAATATATGTAGACTTACCTGTGCACACGATTCTTCAGGTGTTTTGGCACTGACTGAATAAAGTGCTGGCAGATCTAGCCTGTGTACACAGAATTTTTCAAGAGTGTGCAATAGTGCTGGGGCCAGGTGCGAAGTCTGACCCGAACCTCTCTCTCCAGATAGCAGTAATCTTGGCCTGTAGGAGGTTGGCTGGTGGTAAGCTGACCTATAGTAAAAGCAGCATTTTTAGAATATAATCATATGTTCATATGTGTGTATCCAACTCAAAAGCAGAACCAAGCCATACTAAGTAAACTTAAGGTTTTAACTCCTAGATTTTATAATGACTTTACTTTATTTAACGTGATAATAGGAATTCCCTCCTGGAGAACCCAAAATAATTCTTCTTTGTTAACATTATTCTAGTACCTATTAACATTTTATCTATTACAAAAAATTGCAACTGTTTAACTGATTAAACATTTATTCATCTGACAAGAGCAAAATCCCTGTGAATTATATTAAAATGATGTAAAATAGATTATAAGAAATTTGTCTTAACTCAATTTTGCTGGTTGCTCTGCACACCTCCCCCCCCTGCTTTTTCTGCCATACCTGCATCAGGGTATTGGCTACAGACAAGGCTGGGGACTTTACCTTGGGTATGTCAATTCTCCTGCTAAGAGCAAAGTGGGATGTTCCAGGCTAGAAGAACTTGCTTGTCCCTCCACTCAGGGTCAGACTGATCACTGTGTTTGGGGTCAGGAAAGAACTTTACCCCATGGCCAGATTGGTATAGACTATGGGGGGTTTTAACTTCGTCTCAAGCATATACCAACAACATTTTAAAGCAGCAGGACACTGGCTGCCGTGGTTCCTCTGCTTTACCTGTGGCAGGTTAGGGTGTTAAGTCTGCATTGTGTTAGGGTTAATGGTAGTTTTGTTTTTGTATAGAGTTTAGATTATGGTTGTATGGGATGGTTCGGGTAGAGATTATTCTGCCTCAGGCAGGAGGGTTTGGACTAGATGACCTCTGCAGGTCCCTTCTAGCCCTACTTCTCTATGACTCTAATCAAAGAAACTAAATGAATGTCAGATTTAACTCGATATACATTTCTGCATCACTAAGTAGTGGAAACCTAACTAAACTAAAGCACAGTTCTTGTTGTGCGTGTGTAAACAGAACTACTCAACTTTGGTTTTTAGTAGACCACAGGGTTACAAGGCTCACAAGTCAATTTGTTCATCCCTTAAATACAGGCCACACATCAACAGTATAAAGTTAGCCCTGGGGAGGGGGAGAGGGACAGGTTTTTTTTGGTTTTTGGTTTTGTTTTTGTTTGTCTGGTTGGTTTTTTGGGGTTTTTTAACAAACTTTCCTCCTACTGAAAATTTCTACCACCTAAAACCCTGTAAAACCCCGATTCAGCAAAACCCTTAAAAAAGCATTTAGCTCCGATAAACATTTGCTTAAATTCTAAGCTCGTTGGTGAATTAACACACAAAACAGAGTCTATTATTGATACCAAAAATATATATCACACATTTTTATTCCATACTCTATCAATAAACTTTCAGCTGGAGTCAGTTTTAAAAAAGGTAAAGCTGCAACCAGGATCAAACTAAATGATTCTGCACTTTTGTTGGGCAGCAGAAAACTACCAAGTCTATTTTTATATCAGAATAATATCTTTTTCCATTAACCTTGCTTTACTTGGGGAAACTAAGGTTTGCAATTTATATATTTCTTCATTAAAGTATTTATGCTTGCTATTCGCACTCCACTCACCCTGGAAAGTGAAACAAGGCTGGTCAATTTTACCTGCTTAAGCTCTGATCAATCAATTTCTATATGAAATCGATTAGGCACAATCCTATCTTTGGTTGTACAACTGTATTGAGAACAATTATAAATCTATCCAGAAAAATGTTTAAGATGATATAAAAATGTTTTTTCGTACATAGATATAAAAGCACACATGGGGTTTTGTCTTTATTTTGTTTTGTTTCAATTGAAAACCTGAATTTGAGGCCAACAATGGCCACTCTGGAAAAATGTACCATTCTGGAAAGTGCATCATTTTCACCTTAAGCTAATCCATTCATTTTTAAATTCATGATACTGCAAAGGCTTTTAAGGTATCATCCTTAGTAATAAAAATATTACTCTTTCCCACAAGATGGCTCTACTAAACAGTGCCCTTTACTGACTCTCAGTCTCTTTACTGAAACAGGCTTCAACAATATCTAGACAAAAATGCTAAATAATTCTTAGTGAAATACAAATGTCCAGGGTTTTTGGTTGCTGTAGCTACCTAAATATTAACTCAAGTTTTATATACAAATAGTAACCTTCCAATTCTCTGCAGATTCCCACCCCCCAAAAAAAAGTTAATACACAAAATCAAGAAAAAAAAATACAGGAGTTTTTAAAGGAAAACAAGGAATTTAGACTGAAACAAAATTCATAAAAGCAATTTTAAAATTTAGTAACTCCTGACAGGTCACAGGGAACCCTGCCCTCATAATCAGGAAAGGAGCAGCCCCAGCTTTCCGTCTGGCACTCAGAAGTACCCACTGGATGATCTCAGGGATCAGGCATAGGGTGGCTGTCTTCTGAACAGAGGCTGCCTCCTGCCTGATCCCAACAATCAGCCGATTGCCAGAATTGGTATGGGGCAACCATGGCAGCCAACAGTCACATGACTGGGGTCTAGGGAATTATAGAGAATAAAATTTCTCAGATCCCAATCGCATGACTGCCTTAACATCTGCCAGCATCCTTAATGCTCCCTACCACCTTCAACTAGCGTGGGCATAGGAGGCTAGAATCACACTTGTTATGTTTGCAAATAAGTCCTTCTGTGCTTTCTCCTATGCTGCACTTGTGCTCTGAAAGAGTTCTCCAGAGAATTCTTAGAAGTCACATCCATTGCTCTCCCTCAAATCCTTCCCCAAAACTTTTCTCTCTCATGACACCTACAAAAACCTTGACAAAAGTTAGGCTGCTGATATACTCATTATCGTGCTGACTAACATTTGTCCAACTGTTTTCTTGTGCTCCTCCATCAGTTGGTATTCATCTGCTGTCTCATCTTAAGACTGTAAATTCTCTGGGACACACACTGTCTTAATCCTATACTTGTCAAAGTAATAGGGTTGTGACCCCAGACTACAACCCCTCAGCCACGCAACAATACAGCATTTGTCTTTTCTTCTTAAGTTTCAGGAAAAAAAAACAAAAAACAAAAAAAAACACCTTACTCTGAAATTCTACTCTCAAATTTACACAGGCAACTCCTAATGAAGGTAGGAGGAGCTGCATGAATAATCAATGCGCTGAATTGGCTACTCTATTGTAAATCTTGAGTTCACCTATAGCAAGTACTCTACAAAAAACTCACTTTAGTTTTGACTGGCTGAGCAGACTTTTTGGTTGCAGGGGTTGGAAGGGGGGTGTTATGTACAACCACAAAGTTAATGTTAAATGTTTATACTCACGTTGTAAAATGAAGGTAGGGTTTATGTGTAGCAGCTGATGACTGTTTCTTTGGTGATCCTGAGTGACAGTTTGTCTCAAAAATTGATGAAGCACTCTCATCTTCACTATCATCTAATATTAGGCTTGGTGTATCTATTCAAAATGAAAGGTTTATTAATCAGAGTTCTATCACTTCTTGGTACACTTCCAGAGAACAGGAACAAGATGCTAAGTTTCTTAGCACAAAATGTAACACTACCATAGAAGTGAAAAGAGTAGCCATATCTGTCTGAATAATCAGAAGACATCTCAGAAATTACTATTTTCTATTTCAGTAACTAGTACTCCTCCTTATATCATGTTTAAGAGTTTAGTCAAAAATACAAATTCTTTTATCCTCAAGCAAAGTATATTTTTATTGTTTGAAAATGACAACTTTTCACTGTCACTACAATAACTTGTTTTGCTGATCATAAAAGTCCTCCTCTAGATATTTTTTTGGATGAAGCTATTGAATATAAGTCTGCGCTGGCAATAATGTTCTGTCTTACGTCCCACAAATGTCAAAAGTATACTCATTTAAAAGATCCCCTCTGTGACCTGGACAATTTCCGCATGTCTATACTATCTACATACTGCAGAGAATGTATGCAACACCTCATAAAAGAAAAAATAATGCAGCATTATTAGCACAGTGTTGAGCGTTCCTTGTCCTGCATCAAAGTGAATATCATTCTCCTTTTGGGCATAGTGTGAACCAAGTGTGAAGTGCAGGGCAAGGCAGGGCGTGCCTTCTTGCAACCTTCCTGGTGCAGTAATGAGGAAGAACGGACATGCCCTGTAGGCTCAGGAATGTAAAACCACTTTCTATCACGAATGAATCCAGCAAAAAATATTAAACTACTTAAAGAACATATATAGCTAGGGACAAAAATTATACATAAACCAGTATAAGTGATCCGAAACCAGTTCAAATCTATAATACAACAGAAGTTTGGTGCACATAAACCACTTTCAAAATGGCTGAAATCGGTTTAAGATAAGCCTGAATGGATGTAGTATTAGACTTAAACTGATTTAATCTAAATCAGTTATTGAACTCTGCCCGAGCCCCTCAAGATTCAAGTTAATTCACAGTTCCCCAGCATCCCAGGATGCTGTGCACCTGCCCTACAAATCCCGCCCCTCCCTTCGCAGGGTGGGTGGACTAGACTCAGCCCAAGCTGTCTGCTCCAACTGAGCAGGAAGGTGTGCTCTAGTGCCCCCCAGCTTCTGGCCTGGGCTACTGCAAGCATTTGTCTGCATTCCCAGAATCAAAAGTAAATGTCTGTTGACTTGCTTTCTATTCAGCTTAGACTAACCTGTGAAGATTGAGCAGATTCAACCTTGGGCTTTTTAACTGTCTGTAATTAGCCAAAGACTGCAATCAAATCTTTTTAGATTTCTTCAAAAACAACTTAGCTTTTTAATTTTTTTCTAACCCGAAACAGGATAAAGGAAAAACAGGAAGATAAAAATTAAGTACCTTCACTTTTATCCGCCTGACTGAACTCAGCATGGGGAAACACTTTGTGTAAAACCAACAGAAGATTACTGAAGGTTCGTTCCAGCAGCGGCCTTATGACAGGAGATAATGCATGTCCTGAAGAGGTCACAGCACGTTGGGAAGCAGGCACAATATTCTGCATTGCATGATAAAAATCTTGTGCGCTGAGAACTATTGAAGAAACATCAAGCTGCAGTTTCTGACTGCTTGCGTAAATCTGGGGATAGCGCCGTCGCAGGGCAATCAAGGCAGCCTCAGTGCAAAGTGCTTTTATGTCAGCTCCACAGTACCCTAGTGCACAAAAAATAAACATATGTTCCATGAATAAGCATTTTGCATATGTTACAAACATGCCTACAGCTAAAAGAACAGCCATTAGCACTTCTTTATCACAGACTCATCCATTCTGTGTTCAGTGAACAGGTACAGTTGTAGGGTAAATCAACCCTGGAGCTGATGGCATCTTATGAACCACATGTTAAATACCTATAAGAAAAAGAAATTATGCCCTTATCTGGACTTCTCTTAGAGCAGGGGCGGGCAACTATTTTGGGCAAAGGGCCGCTTACTGAGCTTTGGCAAGCCATCGAGGGCTGCACAACAGGCAGATAAATATTAAAGAACAAATATAGGGAAGTGGTGCTGGCTCCTACCTTGGGGGTCTTTAAGAGGGGGCTGGAAAGTTACCTAGCTGGGGTCACATGAGCCCAGTATTCTCTCCTGCCCAGGGCAGGGGGTCGGACTTGAAGATCTACTTAGGTCCCTTCCAACCCTACATCTATGAATCTATGAAATATTAATTTTCTAAACTTTTTAGGGGCCCAATGGGCCAGACAGAATGGCCTGGCAGGCTGCACCTGGCCCACGGGCCGCATTTTGCCCACCTGTTTTAGAGACTGGTTGGGGGGGGTGGAAATCACTGGGGATGTGCATATAGAAGACAAGGCAAATACAAAACAGTATCCATTGATGCTTCTTTACATCAAAACACCACAATATATAATGCAACCATGTGATGTTAAAATGAAAAGAAACTGATTTCATATCAGTACTGTTTGGTTAAAACTTAAAATTTATCTAGTTTTACCTGTCATTTCAACTGTATAAAACAGGCTTTACTAATCAAATCAAATCCTCTCTATAGTCAAAAACTTCTTTCGGAAGTTTTTATAATATTACAGATGTCCCTTCTAGTTTCAGGAACAGTCTTCATGGCCACAGAATGTCTAAGTATTTCAGCTTGAGCACGTAGTTAGAAAAGCATTTATTTCTTAACTGAAAAATTCCCTCACCTAATTCACTTTTTCCACCTCGCAAGTGAAGCTTATTTTACTATCAAACACAATCTCTCTGTCTTTTTAGTTTTATAATTCTAGTGGCATAGAAAAGCAGAAAAAAATTACAATACTGAACTTTTTTTTTATTCATTCCAACCTCAAAATATTTACAACAATCTACTTAAAGCTCTTTAATCATCATTACTGACGGCCACTATATTCTCGCCACTTTTACACACCTATTTTTTTCTTTTTTGTATACTTATTGACAGTTTTGTTTTTTTTCAGTATTAGAACCACTGAGAACAACTGGATTTCAGATACTAGTTTGTTTCCCTTGCAGTAACAGAGATGTAGTTTAGGGCATTTTGTCCCACCCTTATTGAACCTATTATAGCATACAATTTCCAGCTTTCAAACAAATTATATGATTATTCTTTTATGGAAAAATCTTTTCAGATTATTTTAAGCCAATAAACAGAAGCATAAAGTTCTACAGCAGAGAGAAATATTTTATAAAATCCTATAGTTTTGAAGATATATGTTTATAGAATCTATTCATTAAATTAAAAAAAAAATCTAAGTACCCTTCTGTTATATGTACTGACTGACCATTTTTCCCCTAAATGCTTCAAACTGTTAATGTTTTTCCTTCCGTTTCAGAATGATATTTAACAAGCCCAAGAAAGTTAGCAATAAAACTGCTTATCCCTGCTTCCCATCTTTCTCCTGTTTTTGTGCACACACCTGCCTGATTTCCATTTTGGAGCAGCTGCTGCTACCAGTCAATACCCTTTACCAAGGCTTGTACATTCAGCAAAAAATAAAGGTGGCAATATACTAAGTGTTGATGAATGTATAAAACAAACCAAGGAGGAGTAAGGAGAGATTTTTTCCCTCCTCATCTCTTAGTTATATTAATTATAGGGTTTACTTGGAACAAAAATAGGGACAAGATTTTCAAATAAAAAACCCTATGGAATTACAGAACTTTTCACTAGCGATCTGAACATGATTGTGTGTGCGCAATTATAATCAAATCATCATCATATTAGACTCTATAGACTTCTGAATAAATATTTTAAGACACAATTTTAATAATTTCCTGTTGGGAAAAATGGCTGCTAAAATTATTAGTTACAAACTGCATAAATAATCACAACTTTTTTCAAGTTTCAAGTTCTAGTAAAAACTACCTAAAGTGAAATCAAATACATTTGATACAAGTAGTTTTATTATCCAATTCTGTTGCAGAATAAGCGTCGTGTAATTGTTGGTTAATTATAGGTGGCTTGGGGTTACACATCATTGTCCTGCAATCAAAACTACGCAGGGAGTCCCCATTACTTGGGCAGTTACATTTGCAGGAACAGGGCCTACAACTGTAGTGGAAAATTTAGAAGTGGTATTGCATTCTCAATTCTGCCACTTCTTTTATGCTTCATGTTCAACTTTACAGCTAGGTACAGAAATTACACATAAACCAGTAGAAGTGATCAGAAACTGGTTCAAATCTGTAAACACAACAGAAGTTTAAGATAAACCTGGATGGATGTAATATCACACTTAACTGATGTAGGTTAAATTGGTTTACTGAACTTCTGTCCCATATCTCCTCCAGATTCAAGTTAACTCACTTAACTTGCAGCTCCCCAGCATCCCATGAGGCTTTGCACTCCCCCACAGCTCCCTTACCCCCTTGCAGGGTGGGTGGGCAGGCTAGACTTGGCCTCAGCTGTCTGCTCCAGCTAAGCACCCCTCAGCTTCTGGCCTGTTTCACTGCAGGCATGTGGCTGCAGGTCCAGAATCAGATATAAATGTCTGTTCATTTGCTTATCGGTTCAAACTATGCAGATTAAAACTACCCCGTGAAGACTGAATCTATTCAGCCCCAGGCTTTTTGACTGTCTGTATTTAGCCTATGTGTTCAAATTAGTCTATTCAACTATGAAGCAGCACTGTGGCTTAGGAGACGCTAAAACAAAGCTGTTCAGTCTAAGGATGCATTATAGTCACAAATGCCCCTTCCAAGTTAAAATCTAGTGTGAGCAATCTTTGTCGCATAAGATTCACCAGCTCAAGAGCTATATCCTCTCCTATTAATAAATGCTACCACCTTTTAACAGTCTTTTTAATCACAGCTTGTATGTCTCCATAGAATTACAAAATTAGGAAATAATATCCTGTGGCCTATTTTCAAAATTAAATTCTCAGGTGATCAGATATACAATTAGTCTCCAATTCTATTACCCCATTTCTCAGGAGCAATTACATTTGAAGAGTAATAATTGGTCGTTTTTGAGCGATTCTCTTGTGTATATTGTACATTCATTTGAGTGACAAGACAACTGCAAGAATCCTATCTTGCAGAACATTAAAAAGATTACTGTTAAGACGCAAAGGCGCACACTGCCTAGAAGATGAGGTAATATGGAGTAAGGAGTTCTCAATGCCAAATATGAAGTGCTGGTTTTTACTCTAGCACTAGAGGCACTGCAACTAAATTCCAATACACTTGCTTCTGCTTTTTAAAAGGCTTGAAAAGATTGTTTAGTTTGGTGGGCATAATCACAGGCTTTGGTGGGCTCGGCTTTCACTAGGAAAAAAGTAAATTTTCACTTCACATAGTCCATCTAGTTATCTTTCCCACCATGAGATTGTGCACACGAGTGAAATTTTGGGGGTTTTCTTTTGGGGGGGGGGGGGGGGGGGTTGTTTCGTTTGTTTACATGTTTCTTTAAAAAAAAAAAAATCTTTCAGTAAGAAGCAATCAGCAACCAGGCTAGAGAACATCCAGACTTACAGAAATCTGTAAGTCATCATTTTTTATTTCTCATCCAAGTTCTCTTCCCAATGCCCACCCTAAAAAAACAAACACAGTCATGACTACTTTTAAATAAATATTAAGACGACTTATCAAGGATTTGGTCTAAATCTGATCATCATATTCCGCAGGAAGATATAATCAGCTTGCGGGTGGATGTTTTTTTCTCACATATGTGGGAAAAATCCTGAATAGTAATGCTAAAACATGCCTCTTTGTCATACATTAGGATGAGAGAGAACAAACCAACCTGTAATAAGGCAACCTTTTTCCTTTTAAGGTAGTCAGCTATGATAGGGAGCAAAAACACTATATTTTATAAGTATTTTGAATCCAGTGAGATGTTTGTGTTTCTTTAAAAATTACTGCACCCGTATTTAAACACTTTGAACTAAACTGTGAAGCAATTTACCTGAAAGATGGTGAATAAAGGAGTTCAAAACTTTTCTGTTGCTATGATTGGGGGGGGGGTGTTAAATCTAGAGTTAACAAGACAATGGATATTAAGTTGATCTAGACAGACTACATTCACAGCAAAAAAGTACACACAAGAGATTGGCACAGGTTGCAAACTTCAGGATGGCTGGAAGCCTCTCTTTAAGACACTTAATTGCAGGAAAACCATAAAAAATGTAGTTGTGCTCAGGTTTTCCAATGTCCCACCACATGGATTTGTGGAATTCTAAAATCCCCCCCAAGTCTCCAATTATCTGGTCCTTTGTACCATTTCTGTGTTCTCTCTCAGCTGCTTCACTCTAATAATCTTGCACGCACCCACTGTTAAATACTGCAGTTCTCAAAGTGCTCAGTGCGTTTCAAGATTATCACCACCATAAATATCCACACACGCAAGTTCCAAAAGGCATAAAAACCTAAGCTGTTTCTTAAGGACTGACATTTGTCACACTATCTATTGCCCAATAAGTCCTGATTTTATTTACTTTTTTTAAATAATTTGACAAATTCCTTTTTAAAAAGGTGTGGATGGCACACATGAACAAGCTATCCACTCATGACTGATTCTCCATAGAAGTTAGTTACTTTTGTAGCATGTCAGTAGTTTTCTTCATTAGCATCCATACATGTGTACGTGCTGCCAAGTTCATGAAACCAGAGAGACATAAAATCAGGCTGTATCAAAAGCCTGCTGAATCAACAGTGTTTGGGGTTTTTTTAAAACGTGTCCATGCCAGAGGGCAAAATAAGCTAAAATCAATGGGATAAGAGGCCAGGAAACAGGATAGCATGACCCCAAAGAACCTGGAAAGTTTGAACAAAATGCTAGATGTTCTAAACATCACGAACAAAAATGATGAAGTCATCTTAAGGCAAATGAGGCTAGCAAGCCATACTATAACTGAGTAGAGACTTCTTATAGTAAATCAAAAGGTTCTGATTTTGGAAATGCTGAAATACATTAAGACTCCAAGATACAGAATAGAGATAATTTCAAGTACACAATAACTGGATGGTGTTTGAGCCAGTGGAGATATTTCTCAACACGAAAAAAATTGTTAACAGATTTTTCCCAAAACCATCTGGTTTTACTTCAGCACAAGGAATGCCTTCTAATAAGACCTACCAGAGGCTGCCCTTGTGACCTGAACATCTTAAAAATATATAAATGTATTGTCAAGTTGGAGAGAAATCATGTGACATTTCAAATGCCTGAAACTGGGTTTCATCCCAACTATCCCCCTTTCCCAGTAAGTGGTACAAGTCCTTGTCAGAAGTCAAGCAGAATTTACGTGAAATAGATTTGGCACATGCTTTCTTATACCCGGCAAAGTTTAAATTGGAGTTTGCTGGATAGTTATACTTTCTCCTCACCAGAAGATGTTGAGGTCTTTGTGGATCAAAAGCGGAGAGATGCTGCTTCGAAGATGGATGTTCCTGTGGATGAAGAGGATAATTCGGATGTACAGTAGCTGACTGAATGGACTGATGTTCAATTTAAAGTTCTTATTTCTTTGATGAAGAATTCCAATGAACAGTTATGCGAGATTATCCTTTTTCTGAGAACTTCAATGCTTGCCCAAGAAGATGGTTGACAGAGGATGTATCTTTGTACGACAAATTGTTGTGGAGAGGTTATGGCGAGTGTTTTAGGGTTTTTTTCCTCTGTTAAATTCACTAAATAAAATGTTCGTTTTTATTTCTGATATGCTTTAAAAGCAACAAGTTTTATCTTGAACAACCATCCTCCATTCAGTACAGCAGGTCTCTGAGTGCTCCAAGGATATATTTAGGATATTCATGGTGGCCAAGTCTGGAGGGAAGAAGTTTTTTGCCCTCTGCCTGCCATCTGGGTTTGTTAGGCACTAGCAAAACTGGGGGATATCTTAGCTCTAGGGTAGTTAGTTAGTTCATGAATCTTCAGTTTGAGGAGAGCATGCCAGTTTCCGTAAAAGAAAAATAAAAAAAAAAATATTCAGAATTTTTGTTTTTCTCCTTGGGTAGACAGGAAAACAGTATCCCCAATCTCATCTCCAGTGCAATAATTTGACTGGAACATTTACCTATAAATCCTGTTTCTATATAGCTTTGCATATATTTTTTGGTATATATCCTACACAAGGACACTGGAGAGTACAGAAGGGAAACATGTATCAAACTACTTTCTTCAAACTATATTATTACAGGTTTTGTATTACACTCTCTCCGATACAAGTTAGCCTTTTTTTTTTTTCTTTCTTATTAGAAATAGGAAATAGTTCATTCAAATTTAAAAATTAACCAATCCAGTGCATATTCAAAAATCCAGAAGTAAGTGTTCAACATACTTCCAAAGCTAAGGAAAAAATGGTTTTATAGGAAGAAAAGGCACAAAATGAAAGAATTAATTTTGTATCACTTACCAACACATTTTTCAGCTAGTTCTCCTAAAAAAGGATCTGACAATTTAGGGTTCCAGTCCCTGGTATGAATTTGTAAAATGTGCTTTCTTGCCTGATAAAGAAATAAACAATTCAGAATTAGTAACAGAACCCAAAGACAAACTATTTTAAATCATTACTTATTTAGATGAGCATCTAATTATTTTTCAAAACTGGCTGTCATTAGAATATATACAAGAGTTCAAAAATCAAATGCTCATGAGGAAAAGAAGAATGTTGCTTTAAGTTTATAAAATGTGTCATGTGTGTCACAGTTTTATAGTATAATAGAGAAGACAAATTAAAAAAACAAAAATCAACTCTACTACACTAGTATATATAAATTTATCACTATATTTCTTGTTCTAAGAGGAAATATCACCAGTTGATGTAGCCTAAATTTTTAACGGAAACACTTACGAGTAACAGTTCCCATTATCAAATGGCTTGGTATTTAATACATTACTAAGTTATTTATTATTTGCAGATTGGTTTACTACAATGCAAACTGAATCTTTCTAACAGAATCAAACTTTAACAGTCTACACATTAAATTCAATCTTAAATATAAAATTAATCCAACAGGAAAGCTGGGAATATAAAAACTCAAAACAAAGAAAGGAATCACAGGACAAATACTGTATTCTCACATACAACACACACCTTTTTTCCAAAACTAAGCTGCTGGAAATTGGTGTGTGCATAATATGAGAGAATACAGCAATGATTTACCTGCTAACCAAGGCAGGGGGTGGTGGTGAGTAGGCATTAGCCCTGGGTACCCCCTGGGAAATCCGTGCTGCAGGGCTGCTACACGGAGTCTGTCTCCTGAAGGAGCTGTAGCTAGCTGTTCACATCAGCCTATGCCAAAAGCAGACAGCCTGTCCCTAGCCAGGCTTTTGCTCACTCACAGCAGCCCATGTCAAAGAGCAGGCGGCCTGACCCTGATTTGGCTGCAATGGCCAACATCAGAACGCAGACAGTCTGTCCCTGGCCTGGCTGCTGCTCATTCACAGCAGCCTGTGTCCAAGAGCAGGGAACCCTGGTTAAAGCAGAAAACACTTTGTGTCCCTACCCCTCCAGTAGTCATATAATATATTCCCTTCTCCCCAAAACTTTTAAATTTTTTAACAGGGGGAGTTTTTTTTTTTTTAACATTGGTCATTTTTTAAAGCTCCTAGTACAGAAGTAAGAACTAGGAATACCAATTCTATACTTGTTTTAATTCAGCTTTTTCAAAACTTTCACATATTTGGTGTTAGGAGAAAGCTCAAGCCCTTTAATCTCCCTGCATCTCAACCTCCAACCTATAAAAATACAGTAATAGTCATCTACCTAGCTCACCTGAGGTCCATGCAAAGCCAACATTTGTGTCTGTATTTTATAGTATTTGTTGTAAGGTTTTATGTTTTTTATGATTTGTTATATTAAATTACTTGATATTTTCAAGGGAAAAAAATTCTTCTTCATTCAGTCTTCCCAAAACAAGGCATGTATTATTTGGGAGTGTGTTGCATGCAAGGAAATACAGTAAAACAATTCCTGTTGTATATGTACTTTTTATTACTGGGCAGATTTCAAAAATGTATAGCTGTTTGTTTGCATCACTTTACCCCCAAAAGCCTTAAGTGAAGCTGAGGCCACACTGTATAAACCTATACAAAAAATGCAGAATATCATTTAAATGTGGTTAAGTTACAACCACAGTGGGAACCACATGCCTGAGTTTCTCATTTGTGTGCGTAAACTCTCCACCAGAATGTTGTGACACTGTCAATTTTTTATTAAAACAAAGGAAGTATTTTGTGCTAAAGTTAAATAAGACAAATACAGTGTATATTTCACTGCGCATTGTAATTGTGACAAGGGGGTGACTACAAGCTCTGCCCTCGGGCTGCTCACATCATTGACCTGCCTCCTGCAGCCAGTCTGCCCTGTCTCACCTGCCACACCTTTGATGTTGCCATAACGATTGCTCAATACGGGAGGCTGCCCTAACTGTGGCCCTAGTGTAGTGGGCCAAATACGTGGCTCCGAACCATCACTATACTGTGTCCCATGCCTTGCAGATGGCTTCTAATACAGCTGACCATTCTCCTGGGACCCCTTTCTGGGCTGATCTCTGACTCTTTCACTCATTCCTCATATAGGGCCTAACTCACTCTGCCCTCTGTACTGGGCTTCATTCATTCCACCTCTGCTCTGGGCCGCACTCGTACCGCCCTATTCCATGCAGTCCTTCAGGCTATTCTCATGCCCTACTCTACATGGTCTTTTGGGCTTCCCTGCTTGCACTCTTCAGTCCTGAGCCGGGACAGACCTTCAGGCACCTCTGGCGCTACTCTACCCTAGTTATCAGGCTTACTGCCCAGCACAGGGCTGAGTTTGGACCCAGGCCACTTTGGTCTCAGGTGCCTTGCGCTACTCCACCCCTCACTGAGCTCCTGGGCTTTACACCCCTTGGGCCTAAGGCCCCACTCAGTGGGCCTTGGCCACTGTCTCAAGCCCCACTCAGTGGACCTGGGCCCTGTGCACACCCCTAGCCCTTCCCCTCCGCTCAGTACCCACAAGGCAGTGAGGGATGAGGCTGTCTGGCACCCCATCCTTGCCTTCTCTGGAGAGGCTCAGGTGTTGCATTTCCTGGGAAGTGCCCCGCCACAGGCAGCCCCACCACACCATCTACCCCCAGCAGGGTGCAGTTCCAGATTTTACCCAGGACCAGGAGGAACCTCCTCCATCCCCATAGTTCCTACCCCAATCTCCAGGTGTTCTGGGAGCTGCTCTCCTCAGGCTGAGCGATGTTGCCCACTCAGCCCTCATCCAATCAGGTGCCCCCCCCATGGTCATGTGACAGTCTAATTGGGCCTGATCACACCTGCCAGCTGCTCTCCAGCCTGCTGAAACCTCTTAACATGGCAGGCACAACTTACGCTCTGCCTCAATAACATTCAAAGTAACACAAAAGGTAAAATGTGTCTGCAAAACCTAGACCCTACAAACAGCATTACTGAAATAATATTCTTTGTCTTTCAGCAACAGGTGTTTAAATTGCTCACTTAAATCACCAGTGCTTACTTCTTCATTATTCTCCAGTCCTAAGGACAGAAGTTACACATAAACCACTTTAAGTGATCAGAAACTGATTTAAAGCTGTAACAACAGAAATTCAGTGAACAAAAACCAGTTTCAAGATGGCCAAAACTGGTTTAAGATAAACCTGTTTGAACATAGTATCAGACTTAATTGATTTAGGTCAAACCAGTTTATGGAACTTCTGTCCCAGACCACTTCCTGGTTTAAGCTAAATCAGAGTTCCCCAGCATCCCAGTATGCTTTGCAGCCCTGTGCTGAGCTGTGCTGTCTACTTGGAGGGGGTTTATTCCCCCTTCCTCCCTTCTCTCCCCAGGGGACCACAGCCAGAGTCTGCCTGGCTGGGGCACAGCAGCCCCTGTCAGGGTCCAAGCCGCACTTACTGCTCCAACAACAGGGGTGGGGGTGTGGCCAGACACCAGCCATCATGGTACTGCCACGTGCCTGCCTTGCCCAGGGCTGGAGCTGAGCTAGGCTGGCCAGTGGGCACTGCTGAGGGCAGGAGCAAAGGGTCCAGCCTCGGCTGGGCTGGGCCAGGTTGCAGGTGCAGGGCTCTTCCCACCTGCCTGCAGCTCGGGCTGGGGCTGCGGGTATGTTCCTGGCTGTCTGTGCCCAGGCCAGGCTGGGCCGTGCTGGGTTGTCATGGAGCCACAGCTAACTGGGAAGGGCCTTACCCTCAATGGCCAGACCCAGCCCTGGCCAGCCCCTCCATGCCCATCCTCAGCAGCACCTGCAGCCACCCCAGCTGAGCCCTGGACAAGACAGGAGGATAGCAGGGTTGGCTTGGGCCAGGCCACAGGGGCAGGGCCCTTACCAGGTGGCTGCAGCTCCATGGCAGCCTGGCATGGTGCACATGGGCAGTGGCTGGCCAGGCAGTGGTGTGGAGGTGATGCTACTGCAGCTGCAGGCAGATGCCTTGGCAGCATGACTGGCTGCACAGGACAAGTCTTTTGTGCCTGCAGCTGCCCGGGCCCGCTCAGAGGCACCGGCAGGCCCAGAAACTGCCTACCGCAAGGGTTCATATGCCAACAGCCACCGCTGCACCCCCTGCACAGTGCCTGCTTGTCTGTCTGTAGCTGCCACATAAGCCCCCACCTCAGGTGGCTGCCAGGCTCTAGGCCCACCAGCACCTCCAAGCCGGCCTGGGCAGCCACATGCACAAAGGACTCATCATCCCACATGGCCAGTCCAGCTGCCAAGGCACCCGCCCACAGCTGCATCACCTCCACACCACTGCCTGGCCAGCCACCACCCATGCACACCAGGCTAGACTGTTACAGACCCACCACGAGCTAGGAAGGGCCCTGTCCCCACGGCCCAACTGGGCTGACCCCTCCATGCCTTCCCTCAGCAGCACCTCAGCAGCTGTGGGGCTGGCCAAGCTCAGCCCCACAGCTCCAGTCCCAGCCCTGGACAAGGAGGGCAGATGGTAGGGCCATGACAGCTGGCTCTGGCCATGCCCCCCGCTGTGTGAGTGGCCAGCAGGGCAGAAAGCTGGGCAGACCCCGGCTGAAATCCCCATGCCTGTGCCCAAGAGGGAAGACAGGGGAATTTAATCCCCCTCCCTGTCCCCACTTTGCCTGAGGCACTGCCCTGGGCTGGTATCTGGCCATGCCCCGCCACTTGGGGACAAACCTGCCAAGGGCTGCTTCCCACTTCCCCTTCTAGGCACACCCTGGCTAGGGTCCCTGCAGGCCAGGGTAGGGGTTTAAATCCCTCCCTAATCATACTCAGCAGAGTGCCAGAGCCTGACCATGTCCCCCACCGCCCCCCAGGTCAGCTTCCCTCCAGCTGTTGCCAAACGGAAAGGAGGACTCACTCTAGTGCCCTCCAGCTTCTAGCCTGAGCCGCTGTAGGCATATGGCTGCATTTCCAGAATCACAAGTGATTGTCTATTTACTTGCAAATCGGTTCAATATACGCCTGTATAGCCTGTAAAGACTGAATCACTTCAGGATTGGGCTTTTAGAATGTCTGTACTTAGTTCAGACGTCTTGAGTCACTAGCTCCAGCTACCTTTTGACACCCCCCCCTCAGAGCAGAATTCTCAATTGGCTTCAGTGAAGAATATAGCCAGTCCATAGAAAGATCAGGACAGCCCCCATTTTACAGCTTCTAAAAGTATACTGGATGGTTTTGTAAAAGTGAGAAATGGAGGCCTCAACCGAACCTTTTCCTGGGCCAGTTCCACTCTCCAGTGTGACTATTGTGAAATGATGTTATAACCTGGACCAAGCTGGGGCACTGTAACAGAGTAGGTGCTACCAACCCAAAACTTCTACAGACCTAAAAGAAAACAAAAAAAGGGGGGAGAAGGGGACTAGCAGTTTTTGAAGACTCCATCTACTCAGTAATCATTTAATTATTAATGCTACTTTGAAGCACTCTTAGATGTGCTTAGTGAAAAATTAAACAGTGGTTAAAGACAATTTTAAAAATTCCTTTCTAATACAGATTAGCAAACTCCAGAAAAATCATTTGCCCCCAACCATTCTGACTTTTGTTTTAAGCTTCATATTTCTGTTAAAATGAGTGAAATAACTAGGGGTACACCGATAACAATTTTTTGAGCTGACAGCAATGGCTGATTATTAACAAGCCATATCAGCTGATACCTATTCGACTGTCGACACACAGCCTAGCAACCTGAAGAGCAGCTTGCAGCTGGTAAGTTTACTGGGGGGCAAAGGGCAGGGGGATTGAAGAGGTGCGGAGACGCAGATCAAGGCTGTTATGGTGAGGGAGGAGGGGGGCTGGGGCTGCCATTACCCAGCCAGAGTGGGGCAGGGCATGCGAAGGAGCCACAAGTGGCTGGTCCAGGGGGTACAGAGAGGAGAGGGTCAGCTTCCCCCACATCTGTGCCCAGGCTGTTGGTGGGCTGCCACTGCCCACTCAAACATGGCATTTATTGGTGACATTAAAAATCAGCCATATCAGCCAAAAAAGCCAACTGCCAATAACGTTAATTTTCCTTTTATCAGTGTTGATACAATATGGACTGATGCACTGGTGCGCCTCCAGAAATAACCACTACAAATAGCAAAGGATTTTAAAGAAAGAATGTCCTATACTGTACAACATCAATACTTCTTAAGCTAAATGTTTTGTTCTCTGATGAATTTTCTTACAGGCAGTCTCAACTGAACTTGAGAGAGACTTTTTTCCTACAGCTCGCTTAGGACACAGTCTTTTGCAAACCTGAGATAACAGGACTGAAGATTCTAGTGATTTGTTGCTGGTAAATTGTTTTGGAGAAGTTTCAGTAATATTAGTTAACTGTGTTCTATCAGTAGATAATGAAATGCATATGTCTTTCAGAAAGCCACTAGGTGACCTTTTTTATTTGAATACCTAGTATTTTTAACCTTTACATGGGCTGTGTAGTTATTTTTTTTTTTATTTTTTTTTTTTAAAGACAGTGTCCTAGAGATGTCTAAAATAATCTGGTTTCCAAATTTTAAATAAATACAAATTGTTACATTTAATGAAAATAAATCAAATACTATTTTGTCAAAAGATCCATTTCTGAATATGAGTCTTGCAGATGCATACTTACTTAGATCTAAAAATTTTCTTATACACCCTTTGTAATTTTTACCTTTTGATCAGGCAGGTTGAAAAGAAATTCCCTGTCAAAGCGACCAGGTCTCCTGAGTGCAGGGTCTATAGAATCAAGTCTGTTTGTAGCACCAATTACAACTATTTCTCCTCTATTATCCAGTCCATCCATGAGGGCAAGTAAGGTAGACACTATAGAACTAGAAGAAAGTTTGCAAACAATCCATTGGGAACATTTTAAAACATTCTTTTTTTCTTACTGTTACTCTAAAAGTTACATAATGAACACTTCATATTGTTACTGACATCTTTAATTCTCAGAGCCTTTACCCATATAATCTAAGCAAACTTGCAAGTTGCATGACCCCAAAAGAACTGGCAGATTCAAGGATCTTTATAATTTTGGAGAAACTGAGTTTGGGAAGCTACTGACTGAAGATCCCTACAGGCCTCTTCCACTGGCCAGTATATAAATTGTGTGTGCACTTTTGGGGGAAGGCAATACTTGCTTGGGAGGGGAGGAAGAAGCTGCAGTGACACAAAAAAAGCCTCAGACTCAAACAGCTAGCAGAAATAACCAGTGCATCAGGGAAAGAGAACATAACTGGGGACAAGAACAGTGGAATATTTCTTTCAAAAATGAGCTGCTGCAGAAAAATGAGGATACAAATAGCACGCTAACACAAAAAATACGAATTTCAGGAGCAATCTAGCCACAAATACAGAAAAGTAGAAATGAAAGTATTAAATTAACAAGACATAGTGAACTGCTTAACCATACCAACAAATTACAACTGATTTTTCTGTTTTGCTGGCTAACAAGACTTGTTTACTCAACATTTTTACTGAAATATCCTCTTTCAAGAATATTTCAGACGAAGGCACAGACTACATGCTGTACATTTAGAGCTGCAGCACTCAACTGGTATTACCAAGAGATGAACAATAATGTTTAAGGTTCTCCCTATCCTAGGTGTTTTAGCTGAAATAGCCTGGGGCCTATTCAGGGACCGTGGAAGGTTTTCATTTCAACACACCATGGAATCTAATTTCCAATCTCAATAACTGCACAACCCGCCACACCACATGGGTACAGAAGGAGGTGCAATTGGGGAGTTCAGGGATCAGATCCCAGTTATGCCATACATGCTAATGCAGGAAGAGGCTGATTATGATCCCAGGCTCTCCCTGCACCTACAACTTGAAGGTCAGGCAAAAACAGGTCCAACGCCTGAGCCAACAATCAGCTGATTGTTAACTCAAGCCAGAGATCGCACCAGGGTTTCGAACTGGCCTCAACAGGGTCCCAGCCAGGGTTGACAATCAGCCAACAGTCAGCCTGGTGGGGAATACACTAGGGCCAGTTCCAGACCCCAGATACAAACCCCAGCCTGATCAGGCAACCAGCTGATTGTCAGCTAGGCCACACATTCAATTTAAGGCTCCATACAAACCAGCAATTAACTCATGTGTCGTGGCATAAATGTTACATGTAAAAGGGGCTTAAGTTAGGACACGCTGCCTGGGCCACTGCCTAGAGACCAAAGCAATGTTCAGAGTTTCCTCTGTTGCAGCCACATGTACCCACATTCCCAAGGCCTTGAGAAGGCAGCATTCTGTATTTTACCTGCTAGGGGAATCCTTGTTTAGTCATAAAAAGGACTTAAGGCCCTTTTACATGACTCTGGCCTCTTTGGTATAAAGGAGGGAGGCAGACCAGGAAATGAGGATCTTGCACCCAATCTTAATTTAAATACATCTAATGTGCTACTTTAAGTTTACCAAGATAAAAGCTTACCCCTCTGAAATGCATTTAAAACGTTACCTGTGAATCTGGTCTTGTCTACTAGACCGAACTGGGGCCAACCCATCTATTTCATCAAAGAAGATTATAGAGGGCCTCATCAAGTATGCCTAGTATGGAGAAGAAAAAAAGTAGTAGCTGTTTATTCATAGTTCTTCTGCAGTAGCTAAGAGCATTTTTACTCCATGCACTACTAATCCTTTCACATTCTGAACACAATAGCTTGTTCTAGGATGCCTTTGTTAAACCCAGTCCTGAGAATAAATCTGAAAGTTTAACAGCTACCAGGAAAAGTTGTGGAATCTCCACCCCGATAGTTTTCAAGAGCAGGTTAGATGGACACTTGGCTGGGATGGTTTAGTCAGGAATGATCCGACCTTGGGCAGAGGGGCTGAACTAGATGACCTCATTAAGTCCCTTCCAGCCCTTTTTCCCTCTGATCCTATAAACTAAGGTGCTGTTTTAATGATCTAACAACCATCCTACATTTGCCTTTGCTTAAAGAAGTCTGCTTAAGGAAACAGTGCCTCAGTTGTTCTGGCATTTGAGCAAGTGATGCTAGGAAGGCATTAATATACAACATGAGGCCCATGTCAATGTTTCACCAATCCCAACTAACCATATTTTAAAACTTTGTTTTCTTTTTTTTTTTTATTGAACATAAAAAAAAAACTTGAAGTTCTCAAAGAAAAATAACAGAGCAAAAATATTAGAGGAACGAATAAAAAGAGGAAACTGAAAAGTAAAATTTACTTCCGAGAGATGGGGAAATGATCTCCAGACTCACTGTTCTTTCATAACCTGTAATATATACAGTTCTCAGACATACATAAAAGCTACTTCTATTAATATCACAAACCATTTTCTTATGTTATGCTCGGAGTTCATTTCCAATACCTCAGGTATTTGCAGTTGAATTACCTATATTAACTCATCTGATGCTAGATTACTTCTCAATTATTACATAAGTGTAAACTCTTTTGTTATTTGGGGACTTACTGTTGCGTTTATTTTGTTCTAAAGTAACATTATCCTCTTTCTATAATAGTTTCCATTTGGGAAAAAGTATTGACAACATGACTGAGTGATAGCAGAGCTCTACCTTTAAAAAAAGGTATACCAGCTTTACTTACTACTGCAAAGCAAGGGGAAAACAAACATTAAAGGCTCTTTTAGGATTCATAAAGATAGCCTCCAATATTTGGTTTCTCTGTAAATTATTTCTTGCATAAAATAAAAACAGAAAATCTCAGCATTTGCCTAAATATGAAAGCAGAGTTGTGCCGATGTT